TACCTGGGTTTGTCTTCTACATGTCTTGTCGGACTTGCTCGTTTTCCTGTTTATTCGAAGAATCATCTCCTTCTTTAAAAGCTTGCACGTGAACCTCTTTCAGTCCAAGATTGTGGCAATGCTCCACCATAGACGTCAGATCACCATCGTTCTCAATGAGAAATTTTAAGCTTCCAACTGTTTGATCTTCGTATGCCAAAATTAATGACTCGTATGGAAGATCTAACCTCTCTGCCGCATCAAACTTGAGATCCAAGATGGTGGTTGAAGAATTAATCTTCAAGAATACCGCTTTATACTGCGAAGAGACAATGCAGATGATGTCCTTTTCAGCCATTTTAATCTGAGGAGGAGGAGTAATGGAGAACTAACTAGTTATTGCTCATGATGGAGAGAGTTATGGAGAGAATTTTGGTCTGAGGAGGAGGAGTAATGGAGAACTAACTAGTTAGATGGAGTAAAAAAAGGGGGAAATTTCCCTCCATTTTCCCCATCATATCGCATTAATGAGAAGTGACTTCCAGGACTCGTCTGGGAAGAAAGAGAAGGGCAGTTTCGGTTTTTTTATAAAATACCATCTGCTTTTAGTATAAAGCTGACGTGGAGGGGGCTTAAAACATTAAAGCCCATTTTTTGGGGCTATTCCACATAGGGCAAAGTACAGGGGGGCTAGTCACACGAAGTTCCCACTTTTGGGGCCTGGACACATTTTTCCCTTTTTTTTTATGTTACTTGTTGTAAGTTTTAAGGTTTTAAGGTGTACTATGTTAATATTAAACTTTTGGGGCTGCTCGTATTTCCATGATTTTCATTGTTATGTTTTAGATTTGAAATACTCAGTTTATTTTTTATTTGATTTTTGAGGATATTTTTTATAATTTTCAATTTTGGTGGGTGTTTTTTATAAATTTAAAAAATTTCAGGGTGCTTCTTGTAAGGTTTAAAATTTTCAATGTTATTCATATGTTTGAATTTTAGTGTGTTTTTACAATTTTTGAAAATTTTGCTTGTTTTTTTTTTTGTAGCTTTGGAATTATTGGGTGTTGTTTGTAATTTTTTATTTTTTCAAGGATATTCGTAATATTTTTTAGGGGCTTTTTGTATAGTTTTAAAACTTTTCTTGGGTTTTTTTAATTGCACATTATTAAATGAGCTAAGCCTAAACTTTTCCCTCCATTTTATCTTGCCTCTTTATTTAGTTTAAATTTATCCTCATATGTGGTTAAACTTTAAACCTTAGTAAAATTTTAAAATGATTCTTCTTTTAAAAGAGAGAGTACTAGAAAAACTTTCCCTATCCCAAATTTCATTCATCTTTCATAAATTTAACAAAGTTACCCTTTTTTATATTACTAAAAAATCAGAAAATTGAATGCCCTGAACCATCGTTTATTTCCTTCTCCATTCCATCGGTTACGAATTTACTCCGACAACGCCGTTCCAGTCTCTCTACCTTCATCAATTAGCAATTATTAATTTTGCAAAATGCTTATTGTTATCCTCATCATCATGAAACTTTCTCTACCATCATCTTCTCAATTCTCGGATTTTAGGCATCAGGAAGGAACAGGAAGGAAACAAATTGAGGAAGCTTTTTATCGGTATTTATTTGATTATATATGATTTGATCAGTTTCTAAGATTTTGATTTTAATTTTGAGTTATTGTAGTTGAAGGATATATTGATTTTTATCGGTATTTAGGCTGCGTTTGGAAACTAAGATTCGTATTTGGAAGCTTGATTTACAATCAAGAGATTTCAAATCTAGGATTTGAAATTCATGATTTGATAAAATCTCTTGTTTGGATGTCATTACTAAATGCAAGGATTTGAAATCAAAGATTTAAAATCTAATATTTGGATACATTTTATTATACATGAATTTGGATTTGAAAAAAAGTTTGAGAAGTGATTCAAAATTAAAATTGGTCTCTTCAGTAGCAATAATAAAATACGCATGCAAATATCTTATCCTTCATGAACCAGAATGAGAGAATACAAAAATAATAATGATGTCCAAAATATTCATTATTATGGCATTTTTTCATGTTTCATCCAATACTAGATCGACCTTCGATCTCCAAAGAACAAAAATACTACTTTAATAACTAGCCATGATAAAAAGACTCAACGACACAAAAGAGTTTAGCAAAAAAACCTCATTAGAAACTCTAGGCTACGCAATAACCCTTCATTTAAAATACAACATGCTATAGATAGATGATAACCATGATTTGCTACAACAAATAACCATGATTTGCTACTACAAGCCAAATTACCACAACATAATTAAACTATCAAAAGAAACCATATCTAAAATCCTCTATTTATCCTTCAAGTCTTCTCCTCCTCTCTCTCTCCAATGTGTCCAACTTCATGTCTCGAAGAATTTATTGAGTCCTACATTACACAATTTAGCATCAATTAGTCCCTAACATAAAAATCGATGAACAACATTATCTA